GTGGCAGGGTGGCGGCGGGGAAGGGGTCTCTGATCACGAGGTGGCTGATTCTGCTCTGAGACAGAGAACTCAGATACCCCCAGCTTTGTCAGGACGTCCCCGCTCAAACCATAGAAGTTCCAGGTCACGAAACTCCTCGTCTCAAAGCAAAGTCATGCTAATTAAAGTAGATGTCTGCTTTATTGCAGTGTGCGTGCCCAGATGCTACACAAGAGGGAAAATGAATTATTTGCTTCAGATGTTATATCTGTTTGCTTAGCCACTAAATAAACCAAGTGGTGTGATAATAAAGTTGCTCAGTTTCCAATTCAGTTCATATGAGAATGGGTAAAAGTTTAATGCAAACTCAGTTACAAAAATAATTGGGTATCTGGTCAGAGCAGGTCACCATGCTGTTCTGTCATTAACTGGAGGGAAGATTCCCCTGCATTTTAACGTTTCTGAAATGCATTTCCATGCATTTGATAAGTGAGAATATTTTTAAATTATGGTCTGACCTTCCCCCCACACACACATTTTAAGAAGTCTGAAATCTTACAATCAATGGAGTCTCGATCTTAATGAAACACATGTGTAATATTTACTCACTGCTGATTACATTTTATGAGAAAATTATGAAATGTTTTCTAGAAATTGTGAATAGAGAGAAATAGTGACATGATTTTGGACGGGGTGCAGATTTAAAAGTTTCATATCAAAGGCCCTTGATTTTGAAGAGACACATGAATACCTCACCAAGTATTTTATTTAGTATTTGCTGAGTAAATGCTTGTTCCCAGAAGTGGAGGTGCTCTGTATTCCCTCTGTCTTCCAAAAACTGATATAAACGGAATGCATTTTTGAAAGAAAGAGAAATGAAATGAACCTTTCTTATTCCTGTACTTTCTCTCTTCCTGGATATCAGGAATTCCCAAACTCTCCTATTTAGACTTCTGACTTGTTCTCTGGAGTGAAACTCTTCATAAGGAAAGAAAATCTCAGTCTTTTTACCAAAAAACCTCTTGTTAAGTGAATCCTAAGCAATCTTTTTACATTCTTAAAGCTACAGTTGCTAAATTATTTTAAGTCAACTTGTCTACTCCTTTTTTACTGGTTCTATGGTTTTCTGGACATTTTTGAATAATAAAAATAACTCGTGTTATTTTTGCTTCTTATGTTTTTTCCAGGTTTGTCTGACTAATAACAATAATTCATGTGCACTGTATAAAGATAAGGCTCATGGTCAAAAAATTTGAAAAAAAATCGCTCGACCCCACAACTGACCCTCAAGATAATCACTATTAATTTTTTTTATGAATGCCCTTCTCGAGTTGGTTTTTTTATACGTGTAGTTGTGATTTTGTCATCTCTTTTCTCATTGTGCAATCACTCCTGGAATATAAATATGAATCCATGCATCATCATTTATAAATGGCTGTCTCAGTTTTCCGGTGTGATGATGTACCCGAGACTGATTCATCTTAACAATTGGTTAAGATTCATCTACTGATGAATTTTTACAAAACTTTAGTTCCTTAAGTTTCATAAATACCTCTCTACACAAATCTTTATATTTACCCAATGCTTTTCTTAAGGAAGATTGCTCTCAGAGAATCTTTGTTTTCCTTGCAACTGTGGTTTTAGTTATGTTTACTTCAATTCCTGAAATTTACAGTTCCAATAATTTTAGTTTTTGTTTCTTTGTGGACGTGTTAAAATAGATTATAAGAAAAAATATTACAGCCTTTCCCATTTTTCCCCAAGGAAACGCTAAACAAAAAATTAAAATGGTCTGTTGAAGGAAATCTTTTAATATTCAGAAAGTTCCTTTTATATTACAGATTCTGAAGTTGTTTAATTTTACTTTGAAGTCTCTTCACACATTTACCTTTCATGTATCAAGTGTTCTTTGCCAGAAGATTTTTCCCTGGCTTCTTGTAGTCATTCATCTAACTGGCAAATTATTTTTAGAGAATACTCACCTCTTTATTCAAGGTACAAATTAGTTTCAGATTGTGTGAATATGTGGGGAAAGGATATGTAAATGCAGTTTGCATTTGGTTAATGCTTAAATTAACTGCATGTGTTTAAGGGCTTGCTTTTGAAAGTTCCTTTCTATCTTTAGCTGAAATGCATAATTCAGCATAATGCATGTGGTTATATTGATCACAGCTGAAGATATTAGCACAAAGGAGCTCTAAAAATTGTTTAGTTGAATTGTTCTCTGCACCCCGCTTATTAATGGTGTGTTTGACGAACATCATTTTAAAAGAGTGAAATGTTACCTCATTTGAATAAAATGCTGTTTAGATTAACCTGCTTTTTGTCAAATCATAAGGTAAGGAGGTTATTTTTCATCTTGTACAGTGTGCTTTTTCATATTATAATTCGGCAGGTCTGTTTTCTCTTTGAACCATAGCATCTCCGTACTTTTTAAAGAACAAGTTTGATCCCCAACAGTCTAAGAAAGGAAAAACGTGGTAGATGATTCTACATGAAACTCAGTAGAGAAGTTACTAGTGTCCGGGGATGTCTCCTGTTTGCCACTAGACATGCCCTAGTTTTAAGACTTTTAAGTAAAATGGGAAGATGGTTGTTGAAACAATATTCAGTAAAGGAAGACGCATTTGAGTAAGTTTATGACCAGCAGCTCATCAGTCATTCTTAGGACCTTGCTCTAAAAAACTATACAGCAGAGACAGAATAAAATCTACTGTGTCTAGATGAAAAAGTCCTGCGTACTGCAGAACCCCTGGGAGTTTTGCTGGCTAGATAAACTGTGGGTTTACATCTCTTCTGATTATATTTACTTAATTTTGTTACCTCATCAGTCTACCTAGATGTTTTAACCTAGTCAACATAAGCTAAAGATTGCCTTGTTCTTTTTCTCCTCTTTAGCCAGAAAGCAAGTTTATAAGGGTTTATATTTATTGTTGACCCTCTTTTGTAGTTAAAAGACAGTATTTTACCTTTTCCTATGAAATTTCCAAATGTTCAGATTTGAAAATTCTTTCATTTAGTTAACTAGATCATTAGGTGTTATTCTTTTAAACTTTCACTAATACAATAAAAAAAATGATTGTGCATTTGATATTAAAATAACTATACACTCAGGTCAAAAACAATTTTTTTTTTTTTTTACTTTTTAGTCGGATAGCAAATAAGTGACACTGAATACATCCAAATAGTAGTCCATTTCTTCTTAATTGTGCTTTTACAATTTTTACTTGTATGTAGTAAATATGCCATGGGACCACAAAGCATTTTGAAAGTTAGAAAAAAATAGATTTTTATATAAAGTGCAGTCAGTGTGCAGATGCATTCGTGTGAGGAACTCTTGGCAAAGGTGTGGCTTTGCTTTTCCTTAAGAAAAAGAAACAAAAATGTACCCGCTGAATTGAGAACTTAGAACTAGCTGGAGAGTAGCATGAGCTTAATGGAGACACATGGGCGACATGTCGCAACCAGTCGGTGCAAGAACATCGCCTCCAGCGCCAGTTTGTGCTCGTGGAGTATGCTTGCTGTTCGTGTCTCATGCAGAGTGAGAAATTCGTCTTTTTGTGGACTTGCGGGTTTCTGTAGCTCTGCTCCGGACTCAGGCTTGCGGTCCGTGGTGAGCAAGTAGAGGGCCACAGCCCATCTCCAGCCCCTGTTGGCGAGGGAGCGCGGGGTTCACGCCCTACTCTCCAGCAGCGTGAGCGCTGTGAGCAAAGACCAGGCATGAGTTACCGGGCACACTGCCACGCATTTTTCCTACATTAACAGATTTGTTAAAAGTGTGGTTGATTATATGATATGGTGAGAAGATGATGCATTCAAAGTTGCTGGAGAAATTACCTTGTTTTAATAAAAAGATGTCTCGCTCAACTGGGAAAAGAGAACTCAAGGATGTCAATTTAAAAAACTAAAAGACAAATTTTTCTTGCATGCTTTTCAGGACCCTTAATAAGTAAGTAAAAATCAAAGATTTAGAAACATATTTTCTGAGATATGTTAGAGCATTCCTTTGAAGACCCAGAGGCCACAATTTCCTTATATTAATACTGTGAACTTAAATCTTAAGTTTTTGATAAGCAAGTTAAGTCATATGGTAGACACATGATCGTGTCCATCCCCCAACCCCCACCCCACCCCCGCCTTTCTCGTCCCCCACTGCCTTTCTCGAGGTGCTAGCTCAGTTTCCTCTCTTACCAGAACAATTCTAAGATCAGGCTTGGTATGTATCAGGAATTGAATTGATTTGAAATGTGTTCTTTGACCTCATTCTCAATGACCTTTCTAATTATGTTGACTTTATTTTTAAGACCAAAATGAAAAACTCATTCAAGAAAATAGAGAACTTCAGTTACAGTATCTGGAACAAAAACAGCAGCTTGATGAACTTAAAAACCGCATGAAGTTTTACAACCAGGTGAACTATTTATTGTTGAGGAAATAAATACTACAAAGCAAAAGGACACAAATACATTGCTTAGTTGATTCTCCCGGGATGCCAGGCAGCAATAAACCCCCTGATGATAGTCTGCACGGTTAAGGTGTCTTTCTGTTTGCCCTCAGTATCTCCTTGTGAACCTCTGCATCCTCTGGTCTGTTGCAGGAGAGTGATATTAATGCCGATGAATTGAGTGAAGCGCTCCTGCTCCTAAAGGTAACTTTACTGACTTCGCGGAGAAGCTCACATCTCCATGTAACTGTTTTAGCATAATGATGACCCCGATCTCTAACCCTTCTACTTGGAGAAATGAATTATTCAGGAAAGCGGTCAGGTGACATTTGGTTACAGCATATGCATATTTCATAGTAACATCAAAATGACATTCAGATAGACCTCAACTAAAATATATATAAATTGAAAAAGAAAGGGGGAAAATATAGCCCTCAAAAACTCAGAAAGCACCCTCTCCAACTGTTAATAAACATTTCGCTTACACATGCCTCACTAAAAAAGCCAGTCAGCAGTTTTCTATCCTAAGAACTGATGTACCCTTTATCTTAGATAAAATACTGAATTATAAAAGTGATCAGAGGATAACTATCAATTCCAGGGTATTCAAGAAAACACAAAAATGCGTTTCTTTCCTTTTTAAATCTCCACAGTGTGGATTTTAATCAAATCAAGAAATAGAAATAAATCTACGTGATTTTTTTCTTATGTTGTGAAGCAATAAACTTTTTTTTTTATTTCTCTGTAATTGTTCCAAATGTCTATTCAAATATACCTTCTATATCAGGGCTGCTTTATTCCTGCTGGAAAATGGAAACATATCTGTTTTCAATTAATGATTGTCCTTTGCTATATATACACATATTAATTCACATGATTACATTTTGGAAACTCTTGTTTCAGTAATAAAATATGGTTTTATTTTAGGCTCAAAAGTCACAAAAAAATGGAGATCTTTCCTTTTTAGAGAAAGTTGACGGTAAAATTAATAAAGATCTAGAACGTTCCATGAGAGAACTGCAAGCAGCCCATGCAGAGACAGTGCAAGAACTTGAAAAGACAAGAAACATGCTAATTATGCAACATAAAATTAATAAAGATTATCAGGTAAGGTAATCCATTAAATCAGGAAGACGGGTATCCTGTACTATTCCACTCACCCTCCTTTTCAAAGCAGCATTATGTATCATCATCTGTTACAACCCGCTTTTATGTATTACTAGCACATGCCTGGACTTGAGCTTTGTCATGGGTATTTGGACCAACAGACTTAAAAACAAATAATTTTCTTTGAATTTCCTGGTTTTAGAAAACAAACACAATGGTGAGTTCTCCTTAGCTGGCATCGCCTGCCCGTGGGTTGCATTCAGGCTGTAGACCTGGCATCCCCACGCTGCACTAGCTTTTAACAAGTGGGAAAATTACCTCCATGAAAAGGGATCAAATTTTGTCTACTTCACTTCGATTTATGAACTGTGCCAAGCGTTACTTTCTAGACAGTAAGCAGTTGGAGGTCAGGAAACTATGGTGTAAAGCTCCTGGAATCCCCAGGATGTGGTAAGTGAAAATGGAGCTGATCATAAGTATTGAAACTTACCTCGTTTCTAGATGGAAGTCGAGGCAGTGACCCAGAAGATGGAGAATTTGCAGCAAGATTATGAACTCAAAGTGGAACAATATGTTCATCTTCTTGATATCAGGGCTGCGCGCATCCAGAAACTGGAAGGTACAATGTGCACAATTTTTTATCCCCATTAACTAAAAGAATGGATTTTATAACAGTTGAAAATGTCATCCAAATCTACACTCACCATTTCTCTTTGCTCAACTTTCTTTCCCAGTTCTTAACTGTAAGAATGATTTACCAAAAAGACAACTTTTATCTGATTCTTTTCTATTCAAGAATCTTGAGTAATTCCCTACTGCTTTTGGGATTGAGTGTCATAGGCAGGATTTCAAAGTTCTTCAGAAGGCCCTACGGACTAAATTCACCCCTTCTCATTTCTCTTCTACACAAGCTGCGTGTCTCAGCCAAGCCAGTGTGCTTGCTCTTTGTCAGGTTCATCTTGCTTAGTTCCACCACGAACCTCTGCGCTGGCCATCTCCCCTCCTCTCCCACCGGCTCCATAATGCCCTAGCCTGCTGCAGAACCTCGCCGAGGTCACTCCGCCAGAACACTGGCTCTGATGGCTCCTCACCATTTCCGTGCCTGAGATGCCGCTCCAAGGCTTTCACTAGGAGGGAAGTCACCTTGGGAACATACCTAAAATGTAGCTTCCTTGGGCCCCACCCCCCAGAGATGCAGGGGCCCCTCGCTGTGTATTTCAGTGTAATGCCTAGTGTCACTCCAAGCAGTGCAGGAGTACGCACAGGACAGCACTGTGAGAAACATTCACTCAGCACCGACCCAGTGTTCCTCATGTACTCAAAAAAGATGTCTTGAGGTCAATGAAGTAAATGTCCTTCACTGCTGTTGAGGTTTCCCTGTTACCTGTTGTGGCAATGGAAGTTTTACAATGGTAGATGCTTTGACTCAAGTGCCCAAGCAGACAAGACTTACTCCAAGGACCTCTGTCTGCACTGATTTTACACGCTTCAGAATAAATGCGGTGAATCTCAAGAGCCTTTTGTTTGGTATGGGTTACATTTATTATATTTTTATCATACATTGCAAGTGAGAAATCTTAAAAATATTTAAAGCCATGCTGAAATAATAGGAAATCCATTATATCTTAATGTAAGTTACAGACTTTGTTCAAAACTATACTTTTCCTCCTGAAGAGGGGAAAAATGACATTGTTTCAGGAATTTTTTTTTTTTTTTACATTTTTCTAACTGTCTGATGTTTCTGGCATAACTGGGCAGTGTCTGATCTAACACAGAGTGCCTGGGCCCTTACGTGCGCCTCCGAGTTAGTCTGCGATGCTAGCACGCATTATGTGGACCCTGAGAAACACACTTGAGGAGCAGCAATGAGAACGTTAAATGACATGTTAGCATCATTTAAACATCGGTCTGACCTCACAGACCTAGAGAGATTTCGGGGACTTGCAGGGGTCCCTTGACCTCACTTCATTTTTTTTTTTAAGATTTGCATATGAGATTATGCAGAGACCTGGAGTGCAGGCCAGAGGTGCAGGGGTGGTGAGAGGATTCCCCAGAGACAGAGTGGGGAGCAGAACAGGTGGATGGACTGAAATCCACTGCTTGAGGGGAGCAGCGGGGAGACGGGGGAGCTCTGCCGCGCCCTGTGGGTCCCTCCTGGCCGGGGATCGAACTCACTGACAGCACTGAAAAGAGGCTTAACCCCCAGGCCACCATGGAGGCCCCTCCCTGACCTCACTTTGAAACAGCTACTCTGAATCACAGGGCTCAGTAAATATCTTTGCCCACTTGAGCAGAGTTTTCCAAAAGTCTCAGAGCAGTATGTACCTTTTATTTCAAGTAGCACTCAATAAAAAATGTGCTTAATGGGATTTTCCTGAGGAAAATGGGGATCACAGCATTTGGTATTTTCATTCCTTTAAATTCTTATTGAATCTTTACCAATATATTTTTTTTTCTGTCCCCTAAAGTCATTGATTTGTTCCATAAACGTGATCAAACCCCTAAAGCATCCTAAGCTAAGGGCAGGGTGGTGGGGACAGACACTCCTGGACTGAAACAGTCCCAGCACCACCCCCAAGAGCCCCCTGGGGTGTAAACAGTTGCATTTTTGCGTGAAGACTGAGACGCTAGGAAAACCAGAAGATGCCAAGGAGAGAATGCCACACTCCTAAAGGTCAGGCAAGAGGCCACACAGGAGGTATGAGGCAGAATTCACCCTTCTGTGACAGGATTTCCAGGCAGTGGATGAGGGAGGCAAAAGGCCTTATCTGTGAAGCTCTACTTTCACTGGAGAACTGCGTGGGGGCCCGAGTAACTGGCCTTCAGGACACGGGAGAGCCTGTCGTGAGGCTGCAGAGGGCCCAGGAGGCGGCCCTGGGTACCACCCTGAGGAATTGGAAGCTCCAGAACCATTCCGGGATTTTGAGGCACTTATATACCCAGAATTGCATTTTTGGCCATTGTAAGTGTTGCGGGCAACAAGCAAAGTTGAAGGAAGCAGGAAGTTTAAGTTCCATCATAACCTGGGGAATCAGCACTGGGGATATAAGTAGGGTGAGTAAAGACAAAGAAGAAAAAGACAGATTTGAGAGTCATAAGAAAAAGCCTTGAATAACAGTGATGCTATAGATGTGGGGAGAGGGGGAGGAAACAAGACAAGGGTGACTCTGTTTCCTGCTGCTCAGTGAATGCTAATCCCATCGCTTGAGATTCGCAGAACCGAAATAACTAGAGGAGAATTTGAACCATTCTATTTTGGTTTTATTGAGTTTGATGTGCCTAGGGGATATCTAGCTAGAGGACTCAGCAAGCCAGGAGATAGCTACATGGCCTGGAATTCAGGAAGGAGATCTGAATTAAAAATAGAAATATGAGACTCTCACGTCCTTAGAGTAGCAGAAGTCAGAAAAGGGGGTGAGCGTGCCCATAGGAATCTGTAGGCTAAGGAAAGGAATCAAACAGAAGCCCTGCAATGAAGCCCTTTAGAAAAAGAGAAAATCCGACAGAATGATTAAGGCGATGGCGTGGAAGCCAAGGTTGCACAGAAGTTCACAAAAAGACAAAGTAGTCCTTCATATCAGGAAGCAAAAACAAGCAGGTAATGCAGCCAGTTAGTTGCTTATTGGTGAGCTGTGCCAGAGCAGCCTCTTGAGAAAAGTAAGGCAAATAGTGTTTGCCAGAGGTCGAAGAGTACCCGTTAGGTGGGAAGTTGGGGACGCAATTGTATGTACATTGCTCTTTCTGTAAATTTGGATGATATAACATGCAGGGAAATGTGTATCTAGAAACACACATCTTTTTTACTAGCAGCTGTATGGAAATAAAATTGCTATAACAGAGCAGCTTAAAAGAATACCGTTTGGGGCCCTCCCTGGTGGCGCAGAGGGTTAGAGCGCAGCACTGCAAGCTAGCTGCGGCCGCTTCAGTGCAAGTTCGATCCCCGGCCCCGGAGGTGACCCACAGGGCGCGGCAGACCTCTCCTGTCTCGTCCGTTGCTGCTCCCCTCGCCAGTGCACTTTGTCGATCTGCCTGTTCTGCTCTCCACTCTGTCTCTGGTGTCTCTTCTCGCCACCCCTGCACCTCTGGCCTGTACCCCAGTTCTGTGTGCATAAATAAATAAATCCTAAAAAAAAAAAATACCATTCAGTGAATTGTGGCCTAGTATATAACCCTGAAAGCATCGCCATAGCTAAGGCAGTAAACATGTCCATCACCCCCAAAGTAGAAAAAGTAGGAATTTTGATCAGGTGAAGGGAAGGAGCCACTGGGAAGAGAAACAATGTCCAGGGGAGATGACGGAGCTGAGGCACAGCAGCACCTGGATCCCCAACATTGGCCTCAGCAGTTCATTCAGAAGCTTTTCTGTTTCCTTTCCTGTTTGCCTAGTATAACGTTTGCTGAAATTTAAGTTGTGATTTTGTTGATTTATAAGTGATGTCAAAACAAAGGCCAACCTTCTACCTCGCACCATCTATTTCTAGAGAAACAATGTAGTCACAGAACTCAAAATTGTTCGTTCCTATGCCCCAAAAGCGTCCAGACTTCCTACCACTTCAAACGCCAGTTTGTTTTTTCATATGTCAATATTTTAAAGTCTCTAAACTGTGTGTCTTCTCTTGCAGCCCAATTAAAGGATATTGCCTACGGCACCAAGCAGTACAAATTCAAACCAGAAATCATGCCAGATGACTCAGTTGATGAATTTGATGAAACTATTCACTTAGAACGAGGCGAAAACCTCTTTGAAATCCATATCAGCAAAGTAAACTTTTCTCCTGAAGTTTTGCAGATGTCTGGAGATAAGGAGCTGGTCACTTTCTGCACCTATGCTTTCTATGACTTTGAACTCCAGACAACTCCCATAGTGCAAGGCCTTCACCCAGAATATAACTTCACTTCGCAATATGTTGTTCATGTCAATGACTTATTTTTACAATATATTCAGAAGAATACTATCACACTTGAGGTCCACCAAGCTTACAGCACAGATTATGAGACTATTGCAGCATGTCAGTTGAGATTCTATGAGATTCTAGAAAAACATGGTCGAATATTTTGCACAGCAAGTTTGGTTGGTAAGTACAATCTTCCAAGTTCCAGGTGTTTAATTCATTGATTTGGTTGAGATCCTCACTTCATATTCCAATTAGTATGTTCTCTTACCGACTGAAGTATGCATTCGGTAAGGACAGCATTCTTTAGTGCCCACTGGCAGACCATCGTAAATGTTATTGATACTGTTATTACAATGACTACTAATCTTTCAAAGTTTATAGCTGCAGGTAGTTGGTAGCTGTAAGTATTTATTTACCATATTAATGCCCTTCCTTGACTGAACATTAATTGAAATGTGTACATAAAATATTTTTAAAAGAAGTGATCGTGCTATCACTGTGACCAGGTATTGGGAATTTAGTGGTCAACGGTAGATAAAACAAGGCCCCTTCCCTCACATAGCTTACTTCTAGAGGAGAAGACAAATCAAAGAAGTACACACATACAAATATATCTCTGTATATGTGTAGACACTCACAAATACACAATCAGATGTAAAGAAAAATGATCGAGAAGACAAAGATGTAAAAGTTGACTAATTCAAATAAGAGCTTTTTTCTGAGGAACAGCACTGATAAAAACTTTAATGAAGAATAAAGATCCACCCCGGAAGTCAGGGCAAGAATGTTTCAAGCAGAGAAAACATCAAACCTGGTACATTCGCGGAACAGCAACAAGGCCCATGGCCACAGCAGAGGTGAGAGAAAAGCCCCAGGCAGCCAGATCCCACCATGGCCCCTTGTGAGTCACAAAAGCAGTCTGGGTCTGTTCCCTGAGTGATGTGTCACTGGATGATTTTGAGGCCGGAAATGACAAGAGCCCACATCGGTTTGAGCACCCCCCCCCCCCACGGTGCTGTGGGGAAACAGTCCGTAGAGGCCAAGAAGGAAACTTGGAAAAATGTTGGCAACCACATTAATTGGGGAAGGTTGATAGTGACAGAAGGTGTGATGCAAGGTGGTTCTAGTCAGTGTGTATTTGCTACCACTTCTTTCAAGGCTCCCGTTGGCTGTAGGGTAGTGTGGAGGAGATCAGAATTTCTAACACAGGAGTATGGTGAGGCCATGACTAAAAGAGGCCCAAGAGAAGAACAAATCTGAAGAGAGAAGTCAAGGATTCCTTTTGAACGAGTTAAAATTAACCTGCCTGTTGGATAGCCAAGGGGAGGTGGTACCATCAGGTGTTGGATACAGTCGTCCGAAGGGCAGGAATGGAGATGGGAAAGGAGCAGTCCTTGGCACATCAAGCATTTGCAGCCGTTGGCTTAGATGATATCACGTGGAGAGTGAATAACGAGACAGTGGCCAAGGTCTGAGCGTTGGAAAGCTTCAAAAATGCCATTGAGAGGAAGAGACAACAAAGCAAACTACAGAGTCACGCGCAAAGCAGGAGGCATACCACAGGTGTCCGGGTCCTAGCGCCGAGTGAAGAGACCATTTCAGGAAGGAAGAGGGTGACAGAGGTCTGGGGAAAGGCTTGACTGTAGATTGAATGATTGACCGTGTAGGTAAGAGACCTGCGTGACTGACAATCAGAAAGTCACAGAAGTTCTGACCATAAAAGGTGTCTCCACCGTGTGCCCTGCCACCTTGAGTCGCCTCACCAACGGCTACTCCAGACATATTCATGCCCAAAGAAACAAATATTATTTTAATGATGGCAAATTTGAATCCTGTGTGTATGTTGATGAGAGTGAGCCATTGGACAGAAAGAAATCGATAAAGGTGGCGAACACAGGGGTAATATTTTCAATAACATGGTACCTTAGGGAAGCTGGTGTGGAGAATATTTCACTCCAGCAAATACTGAGGCTCCTTGTCCCTCTCGTCGCAATGTACCGTGGAAAGAGTAGCCCTTCCCTGGGGAACGTCCAGTGCGGTGGAGAAGCAGGCTGGTGAACAGTCATGCCGAAGCAGCCCCAGGGGCCACCGTCTCCTTCTGGAAGTGAGAATAGAGCTCTGACGTCTGTGGGGCCTTAGCATGATCTTCACAGAGGACGAGAAAGGAAGACCTGCATGTGTGGAAGAGGATGGAGGAGACGCCGGACACACCACCGAGGGTGGACTGCACAGCCCGGCTACAGCGAGTCCCCGCTGCTTGACACAGCAGGGACCGGGGAAGGAGCCAGCGACTTCCGGATTGTAGTGTGGAGAATCATCTATGTGAGGTTCCAGGTAATATCTCAGACCACACCGAGTGCTGCTTGCTTAAAAAAAAAAAGTACTACGGCATCACAAAGCATGGATGGAGTATTTGCTTCCATGTTTTGATTTTTCTTTGTGGATTAAAATCGTATAAATGCCAATCTCAAACTGTGTTTGACATAGTCCTCTAATAATATTTAATATACAGTGAAACTCATACTTGCAGCAGTAACTGTATTTTTTTAATCTGTTATTTGCCCATCCCATTATTTGTGCAAGTCCTATTATTTCACGCAACGCAAAATTTATTCTTTTAATGCATAACACCGTGGGTGTAATTTTTGCCTGAAGTATTTTAACTTGTACGAGTACTCTAATAGTTATGCATTGACTTGTAGGAACTAAAGGAGATGTCCCAGATTTTGGGACAGTGGAATACTGGTTTCGATTAAGAGTTCCCATGGATCAAGCAATTCGACTGTATCGGGAACGGGCAAAGGCTTTGGGCTACATAACATCAAATTTTAAAGGGCCAAATCAGACGCAGTGGGTAAGCTTGTCTGACTTTAAGACCCTTTGTGACACTGAAATTTCATATTTCTTACATGTCATGCTTTAAACTGAAATCATATTCTTTTACAGCCATCAAGTGGCTTTAAGCTTTTTTCTTTTGACATAATCATAAACTTACATGGAGTAGCAGTAGAGAAGTCTGCACCCCCTTGACCCAGCTGCTCCCAAATGCAGCATCTCACATAACTAGAGAAATCTGGCAGAAAGCTGCCATTGGCGAGTGTTCTTAGCCGGGTACAGGCTAATCCAGGTTTTGTCTGTTTTCATCAAAGTATGCACTCCTCTGTGTGTGTGTGTGAGAGAGAGAGAGAGATATTGGGGGGGGGGGGGTTCTATTCATTTTTATCCTTTTTGTTTTATTTGCTAGGTGGAATCAGTTTCTGTGACTTACAGTTAAAGAACCATGACTGATAGATCATTGATCCCCAAATTTCAGCAAGCATGCCACCTGTTTCCCACGGAGCATCTTTCTGAGCTAGTGTTCTTCAGTACACTCTGGGAAATGCTGCTATAGAGAAGGGAATTCGAAATAGACACCATATGACTTAGTGTTGTGGTTTAAAGGTTTTTAGACTCAGTTTCTGGCTTTAGTGAGTCGTTTACTGTTGGAATTTCAACTTCCTGTGAGGAGATTCTTGGGGAGAAGCCATAAGAGTACTTTTTTCTTTTTAAAGATTTATTTGTGCATACAGAACTGGGGTACAGGCCAGAGGTGAAGGGGCAGTGAGACACTTCACCAGAGTCAGAGTGGGGAGCAGAACAGGCAGATGAGCGAAGTGCACTGCTGAGGGGAGCAGCGGGCAGGCCAGGGGAGGTCTGCCGCGCCATGTGGGTCACCTCCCTGGCTGGGGATCGAACTTGAGGTGAAGCATCTGCAGCGAGCTTTGTGGTGCTGTGATTTAACCCATTTTGCCATCAGGGAGGGACCCCAAGAGTACTTTATAATCATTGCATTCAGGCTTTTGTTGCTGAATGCTAACTCACCCTGGGAGTCAACATTCATTTCCAGAGTTCCCCTCTCCACACCACCAGATGTCTCCACTAAGGAGATTCTAACTGTGGTTCCATATTTTCCTTCTCCAGTAAACGTCTCTAAAGTCAGACATATAATCCACATTCGAAATGCAGTGAAAGAGAGGTCCTTTTTTGGAAGGCAGAGAATTCTCCACCACAATATGGAAACGCTAGCAATGCTCTCCTCACTTGTGGTAGGCTTACCAGCCAGGGCCACGTTTAGCCGAAATTCTGGTTGCACTGGCTGTCTGAGTAAAGGTGCCAGAAATGATCTCTAGAGAATAATTTTTTTTCAGGGTGCTTTTATTTATTTATTTTTTTTAATAATATAATAGTTGATCGGAGGATAATTTTAACTCTGACTGGTAACTCTTTTTGCTCATCTCTCACTGAAATATCCTCCCCAGTCCAGCGTCTTATCCTCTCTGGGTTTTTCCTTTGATTATGTTCTCTTGTTTTATGGCAGCTGAACTTCAGTAGACTGGCTCATCCTGGCCTCAGGTGTCTGCTTCCCCAAACCCTCTGGGTTCAGGATGAGGCCGCCCCAACTATAGCACAAGTGTCTGCGTGGGCCCCCTCAAAGAACCACAGATAACTCATTTCTGGGTTTCGTTTGAACAGCAGTCTCTGCGTGGTGGCTCAGGCTCCTGTATTTGCTGCTCCTCACAGCAACATCTGCACACATAGATCCCAGGGCATACTGGTTTTGACTCAGAATAATCTTTTACTGAGACATTCACTACAAAGTGCAACTATACAGCTTTTTGTCCATGTACTAAAGTAGTGTGTTTGGGGGTTGGCAGCTGCCGTGTGTCTCTTAATATGCTACTGTAATTTTAATATGTCTGTTTTTCCAGTTAAGTCAGCAAGCACCCAAAACTGCTCAGCTCAGTGCTGCAGATTCCACAGAAGGCAACTTGAATGAACTTCACATCACAGTACGATGCTGCAGCCGCCTGCAGGCCAGAGCAAGCCACCTTCAGCCACACCCATATGTCGTGTACAAGTTTTTTGATTTCGCAGACCACGACACAGCCATTATTCCCAGTAGCAACGATCCACAGTTTGACGACCACATGTGTTTCCCAGTGCCAATGAATACGGATTTGGATCGGTACCTTAAGTCAGAGTCTCTGCGCTTTTATGTGTTCGATGACAGTGATACCCAGGAGAATATTTACATGGGAAAGGTCGCTGTGCCCCTGATTTCCCTGGCGCATGACAGGTGTATTTCAGGTAAGCCCCTTTCTCAGGTCTAGAAAGTGGGAAAAGAAACTTAAATTGCATCTTAGTCTATTTATAACTCATCTTCCTGAACTTCTCAGATCCTAAGCTTTCAGCCTACAGTTTTGGGGGGTAGGAGGGTTTGAGTTATTTTCTTACTGGTTTTCTAGGGGTTACAATCAGTATAGCAACTTCTTACAATCTACTTAAAATTAGTACTGACAACGCAGTTAATAGATAGTCTGCTTGAATATAGGTTCACTCCCTCCTCCCGCTTCACGTTGATTGTGGTATGGACGTGTTAGTAGTAGTAGTAGTA